ATACTACACTGCAAGAAGCCATACCTCTGCGTGTGTGTGAGAAATATGCATCTTGCAACAGTATATCACAAACAATACATGTTAAAGCAGTGCAGAGCATAAACTACAGCTTCTAAAAAATATTGCTTACAACCAATATCAACCTCAAATATTGACGTTAGAGTAGCTATATTTCCAAAATCACCTAAATAATGTAAATTTTTGTTTTAAATTTATTTTGGATGTTATACTAATGCAACAGCAATGATTTCCATATATAGCTACCTACACTACCAACCATCTAACTAATTATCATTAACTGTACTCTAACTGGACCTAATAATTTTCATATATAGCTATGTAGATTACCCACCATCTAACTAATTATCATTAACTGTACTCTAACTGGACCTAATAATTTTCATATATAGCTATGTAGATTACCCACCATCTAGCTAATTATCATTAACTGTACTCTAACTGGACCTAATAATTTTCATATATAGCTATGTAGATTACCCACCATCTAGCTAATTATCATTAACTGTACTCTAATTGGACCTAATAATTTTCATATATAGCTATGTAGATTACCCACCATCTAGCTAATTATCATTAACTGTACTCTAACTGGACCTAATAATTTTCATATATAGCTATGTAGATTACCCACCATCTAGCTAATTATCATTAACTGTACTCTAACTGGACCTAATAATTTTTATATATAGCTATGTAGATTACCCACCATCTAGCTAATTATCATTAACTGTACTCTAATTGGACCTACAGTTTTGCCCGTTTCATTTTTACAAACCCCTACATATTCATTTGCTCATGGGCCATTGGGAGAGGAATGAGAAGGGGCCCATGATGGTTTTATTGACAATTATTTATTGCTTTCTTAGAACACATACCGACTGAACTGTAGGTGAGAATTAAACTGTATGGTTCTTCTGTTTGGACTCTGAACTAGTTCTGACAGGAGAGGTGTATGTCTCATTTGTTTTGAATGTAAGTTTATTTAAGAAACTGTTAATTTTCATGTGATACGTTGTGTTTGTTCTCCGGCAGCATCTGTTATGAAGTTACAATCATTTTCAGTTTTTATATTAATTTACTTTCTTTTCTTAATTTTATTTATTTTGAATCAATTATCCCTTATTTTTGTGTTCCATTATGCTCAGTTTATTATGTTGTTTTTGATTTTATTTCCATTCATTTAGTTGTCTATTGGGGCTGGAAGTTTAAGGAAGTTTTCCTTTGTTTTTCCATGTGCAAGTATCATAGCATCATGTGTGTCATTTTATGAAATGAATAACAGAAATAACTAATAAATTACTTAGTTAATTATTTACTTAAACACGGTCTTTCAAGGTAATTTTTTAAGGCTAAAGCCTACAAAGTTCTCAAGATAGAGAAGGGGGTTGTGGCTGTTGAAAACAACCAGGTTTCTTCTCTTCCACAATTAGGAAATAATATATATTTATTCAAATATATTGCTTGCTTTCATCTCTTTATGCTAAGGTTAAATGCATATTGATCATTTCTTAAGTCTTATACTCACTTGACCAAGTTTTTGTGTTGACTTTCTCCTAAGGATGTGGTTCATACCAGATTAGACAGATGATACAAAGTTTGTACAAATTAGTACAAGGTGGAAGTCAATCTTCCTTGAATATGTATAACGAGATTCATTATTGATGTAGCAATCTAGGATTATGGAATACCACACTAGGACTTTGGTTTGATTTGAAAGTGTGGTATAAACACAATCTTTTCTGTCTTCAGAGTAAATAAAGCTCTTGGCTATGTTGATGCAACAGTAGCTAGATGTTACTCTAGAGCTTAGAAGCTGACAAGTTTGTATAGTTCAGAGTCTAACATGCCTGTATTCAGGATACAGAATTTATTCTTTGTTTTACACAATTTTTTGAATCTTTCCTTTGCTGTTTTATTTATAATGTATTCACTTGCAAGCAAGTCTTTGCAAATCTACCATATTGCAGGCTTAATACTTATTTGTTGCCTCAAGTTTTACCTAAGAGTATGAAATATGTACACTTTTGTACATGTATAACTAGACAGAATAAAGAAAACACATAGGTTCAAGAAGTCTTGTTACAAAATGATAAAATCCTATAACCAGATCGCTTTGGAAAGGTGGACCTTTCTTCTTCTTCAGGGGCAAACTGAAGAAGAAAGGTCCAACTTTCGAAAGCACTTGGGTTATATGGTTTTTATAATTTTGAATTTAGATAGAGTAAGAGATACAGTTTGTTTCATGACTTTGATTACTTTCTGATATGAAAGCTTCACAATCACAACTGATTTAGAAAGTTAACTACAAATTGTCGTATTAAGTACTATAAAAATTAATACTTTAACCATATATTTTAAGTAATATTTTGTTTTATATGTGGTCTGAGGTGAAATATGTAATAACACAATGTTTGTCTTGCAAAGGTGAATATTCAGGCATAATCATTGTCAAATGTCATGTTATTACTAATTATACTGATTTGAATTAATATACATTCTATTCTAACTATTCCTTTATACAAAAGGAATTATATTCTTTCATTTTTCTGCAATGATGAAAAATCAAACGTACTTTTTACTCTTGATTTGATATCTAGTTGCATTTGTAAAATTGCTAAATGAAAGAATTAATGGTGATGAAAATATGAAAGATAAAAACTATTTTTTTTTATCTCTATGACAAATGGACATGAAGTTTAGTCAAATGGAAGACTGTGTTAGTTTATTAAATATTCTAAGTTAGTGAAGTAATATACCATTATCATTTTTTTGATATTTTGAAATAAAAACTGTTTAGTCAAAAATGTTTCAAACTATATTTGAATATTTGTAAAGATTAATGCAGATAGATTTATTTGCACATGCATATTTGTTATAAAAGCTACTGTTCCTTTCATACAGTAAGATCAGTTTTATTTCAAAATGAAATAATATTCTGTTTATTCTTTAAGTTTGAAGATTAACATTGCATGACTACATTTCTTTAGTTTGTCTAATCTAGGTCTTTAAGACAAGTTTTGAGTGTGTGGTAATTTATACCAAACATTATGTGTCAAATAAAATAAAGAAACATTCCTAATTTTAACCATTTGTGCTACAAGAAAACAACCATCAAATAAACTCATAAAATTTCACCTTTTGGTAATAACCTTGAAAACAAATTTACTAAAACGGAAGTGAATTGAATAGATATGAGACGATAATAAAATGTGGCATAACTATGCACACCTAAACAACCACTAAAACAGTCTACTGAGTAGAGATGAGCAAACCTAATCCCAGGAATTTAGTGAACAGTACAGTTCTGAAGGTTATCCCAATCAAATGTTTGAAAACAACAACAAAACAATAAACTATCAATAGCAAAATACAAAATAATGGCTCTTTGAAATCATTTAAACTAGTCAGTGTGTATTGCTTAAATTCTGTGTGTGTGTGTGTAAAAACAAGACTAGTATTTGTATACCTTATATGCTAAGGCTATCTGTAGCCAGTCAACAGCACTCTACAAAATGTGCTAAAAAATTGACCGTCGCCTATAATACAACCACAGCTTAAAATGTGAGGAGTATCTTGAGATATTGCACAGTCTTGAAACTAACTTGCTAGATTTCAAATCCAGATCTCTACCACAGAACTAATTTGCACCCCAAAAAATAATAAGTCAACTAGAAGGATATCTTGAACATTTGGAGATGTGGGAGGGGTCAAGGCATATTTGGTGTTACGAGACCAGAAAAAGTTATTGCACTCTTAAAAAAAAAAGCTCTTGATATTGCAATCTTAAAAAAAACGTACACAAAATACATTTTCCCATACAGTTACACATACTTCCATAGAATCTAAGCCTCAAACATGCAGATATGGGTGTTGGCCATGCCACCTTCCAAATATAAACAATTAATCATTATACACCTAGTAATATTATTGGTCAAGAAGTAATATCAACCTAAAATATGATCCTTATTGATTAATATTTGCTAGAAAATATCAATGTATGATTATACAAGAAGTTCCTACCCTATGGCCTTACATCTTGCTCTAACAACCAAGAGTTGCATGTCTCTGAGATGTCACTGCTGCTATACTTTGTGTACTACTCCTCAATCTCGTTATGATTATGAATCAATCTATATAACAATGTGGCTCTTCTCTAACTAAAAGACAAAGCAACACTACTATTCTATTGCATTCTTCCCTACTACATGTTGTTGCAACTTTTAACTCATTGTTTTAACTATGATGCTGTGCTATGTGTGTGCTGCTCCTTAATCTCATCATTGTATATCTCATTGTTGAGTCATGTCTGATTTCATTCTTTGTGATACAAGGTTAGAGATCACTACTTTTGTATTTCCATGGTAACTAACAAAATGTGTCATTCTTTCTCTTGTCTTTGAATTTTGTTGCCAATAAATAAACAGGTTGCAGCAGTCTGTCTGCAAATACATATGGTGCACATACATGTTCAAGTGGCACAACTTTTTTCTTTAATGATGACTCCCTTAGTTCTGTAGGAAGGTTTCCCTTACATCCAAGTTTCACAAAGATAGCAATGCCATGATAATCACATCCACATCAACTACATACTAAACTTACTTTGTAATTGCATGTAAGTTTGATGAAGTTGTTGTTATCACTGTTGACAAAACCAGACAAAAATATTTTCTTATAACAGAAAGTTAAACCTTTTTTCAGCAGAGGTGTGGTCACTTCAGTGGATTCTATAGCCATGGCTCCTCAACTACTGTGACTATGGAGGTGTTGATTGGCTCTTTCAATTTTAGATTTAGTAAAGAATCATTTGATTCATTCAGAATCATATGATGATGAATACTGTAAAATAATGCAGGCAGCCCAATTCCCAAATATTTTCTGATTGACTCATGTAATGGGTGTTAAAATACATAACAAAATTACACTTAAATACAAAACTTTGTTCTGTAACTAGAAATAAAGTTGAAAGTGCTCAAGCTTACCACATCAAAGTCAATCTTTTCATACAAGCTTTTCTCCTCCTCAGACAAAGGAATGACATCATCCATAATTTCTGGTACTAGAATATTCCCATTTAGATCAACCAGGCTGTTCATCAGAGCAATTAAATCAGCCATACCTTCATGACTGTTGAAGGGAAGTTAACAAGTTTTAACACATCTCTTTTAAAGTAAGAAACATTATGCCTGATAATTTCTCTAACAAACTCATGTCTTCAGATTAAGCTATACACTTTCAAACTGTAAACTTGGCTAATATAAGTTAACTTTCAATAATAATCTTGCTCTAAACAAAACTATCCATAGCCTACCACTGTCAATGAGTCTGTAGCAGTGTAAAATTTCATTCTTAGTTAAAGAAGGAAGCCTTTAGAACATAGTAGTTACACTCAAAATAGCATTCTTAAATTATCTTTTCTTTAAGAGTTGCTTTGATATTACTCTACCTAACCCACTGGAACCGTTAGCCTTTAATACACGGTAATCAATTTAATTGAAATATTATATTATCAATGTATGACAATATAACATAAGTTATAATTCAACTTTTAAAATTATACAAGTTTTACTTCAATAATTTCAAAAGAAAATATTTAAATCAATTCTCAATCTTTACTTTTATGTATTATGTGACACTTTTGTGCTGATTTGCATATCATACAATTCCTCTCCACCTCTGTACTATTTTCTAAGTTTCAGGATTCACACATTTATACATTAAATATCCCCAAGCTAAAATGAAAATCCTTTGTGTATTTTTCTTGTTTTAATGTGCTATATGCCATAAACTGATTCTCACGTGCCATGTCCCCTCCTAGCACACACCGTCTTTAACCCTACTGCAATGGGCTCATTTACTTCACACAACCCTGTAACCACCATGTAAGGAACTTGTAACCATGATGTGTTCATACTGTAACTCTGAAAGTCCTTAATGTATTAGAAATTTGGCAAGCTTTCAGTAAACATTACAAGTATTTTGTATACAAAAAAATATAATTTTTAATTAAGTATTCTTACCAGAAATTTGCCCATAAATATATTGAGACAGAGATTTAAATGTTCTGAATGCAAAGTAATTTTTATGTTAAGATTGAAAACATATTTTTTGTCTTCCAAAAATTTCAAAACATCCTAAATAAATTTCAAACTTTTTTTTTAGAAAAACTTTATATTTTATTTTCTCTAGCTTCATCCTATATTTGGACAAATTGACCAAACTCATAACCACCATACAAAATTAGGAAATAAATCTTAGTTACCCTTTTTCTTTCTAAAATGACTACAAATTGTAACATGAAACCACAATTGCCTTAATAGGTTAAAGCTTGTAACAATATACATCTATCTATGCTGAATTTTGTTTGATTGCCCTCTGAATCGTGTCTAACTAATAATCCCACCACAGAAGTTGTAAATCAGTCTGTACTTCACATTACTGTATTGAATTATGTTAGGCACAAGCTGCTCACAAGCACAGCCCCTTAGTTTTTATCATCATAATTATTTTTCATTATCTTACCCAATTTAACCTAACAAGTTTCTAATTTTTACATTTTAGTTATTTTTATGATAATAAATAAATAATACACATGAAAAATAATATATTAATTGCCCGAATCTTTTTTTTTTGCTGTTGACTGTCAATGAAACTTTAGCCTAATTTTTTACATTAATGATACTACTACACTAAATACTGTATTTAATTAAATATTGCACCTAAAAACTCAGAATAACCTCCAAAAAGCAAATAATGCCTGATAACTTTCATAATATTTCTGACTTTCTAACTATGCAATAAGAGCCTTTAAAATATCATCTAAGCTTGTCAATGTAATTACAATGAGAACAAATTTAAAACTGAATGACTAAATGGACAATGTCCTGTACAGTGAACAATGTAATATAAATACATCATTTTATAGATTAAAACTCTGGCCTTCTATTGGTTGTAAATAATATTGTATAAAACGTCAGAGAGGAGTACTGGCAATTTATAAAAGAGAGGATGTGACAGATGGGCATGGCAAGTGGGTCTGATTTTCTTGTTTGTGGCTCTATAAACAAATAAGATTGAAGGCTATAAAAATTATTCTTTGCCTGAGTAATATCTATATTATAATGAGCAATTTACATTAAATTCCATGGAGGGTTGGTAAACAAATTAGAGAAGAGAAAATTCCTAGATAGCAAATGGCACAATTCTCATACTAGGGGAGATTGAGGATTTTAAAAATATTTTCTTATAAAATTATGAACTTATTCTCTGACAGTTACTACTGCATTACTTATAACCAATAAAATGAAAAATTATTTTCGTTTACTGCTTTCCTTATGAGGTCAGCTTTCCACAACTAGGTGAGGAAAAGATTTTAATACACATATAGCTTACATAGAAATCCAGTTAAATTATGATATTTTTATGACATTGTTTTTTTGTTGTATGTTAATACTGTGTGTTCTTAAAATAAATAAAAATTAAACAAACTACTAACAATATCCTTACAAAATATAGGGTTGATTTTCATTGAAACTTTGAGAGCAAAAAAATAGAAGACCCACACTTAAGTACTAAATTTGTGTTTTACATATATTTTTTTATTTATTGTTATAAAAGAAACTAAAATGTAAAAACTTGAAACTTATTAGGTTAGATTAGAAAAATGAAACAATTCTATTGAAAAAATACTTTATAGCATGAGCATGTTTTGTGTACATCATGTAATCTGACTGAAAGTGCTGGTAACTCAATGCTTTGTTTACATAAAGCTTCCACATTGTGATAATTTGCTATGGTGCTAACCAAGGAGATCTGAATTGTACAAGTTTTGGTTGTAAGAATAAATAGTGTGTAATTGTCTCTAACAATATGCAGACATTCTAGAAAGAAAAAACGTAATTTAGATTTATTTGGTAATTTTTGTAGAGGTTACAAGGTCAGTCGAATAGATCAAGCCTGTATAGTGTTAGGGTATAGAATATAACAGATGAGATTATAAAGTTTTACTGAAACTTTGATATTTACTTAGGAGGTTCTAGAAGTTATGTTAATGAAATTGGAAACGTTTTTTTAATCTTAACATGAAAATCACCTTGCAACCAGACTAGTCATAATCTAAATCATACTCTTAACTCCATACATGAAGCATGTCATGAAGACACCTTACTACATTAACTTAAAGTGTTATGTTAGAAAGAAATATCCCTTCTACCAATTTCTCTTGTTTTGCTGCATTGGGGCTAGAGTGTAAAGTTGAATGTACCAAAATAATTAAGATGTATGACTAAGTGATTTTAATCAGGGCCTTCTTTTAATATTAGGCAATCATCTTTTTTTAAATTTTATCTAAAATTCAAAGCCAATAACTAAGTAAAAATTCTTAAAATAAATGGTTGTTCATAGCTTAACCCTCTCACTACAGGAATCCTTTTCTGTGCATATCAAGAGGTTTTTCTGAGTTGCATTCAAAATTTAAGTAAACTACTTTCTTATCACAGTATATGAATAAACTTAGCATCAAAACATAGCTAATAATACAAAGTTTAACATTATACAACTTTTAAGTTCTTAATTTTATAAGGATATATTTAAAAAAAAGCATCCCCTCTTCTCTAGTTTATTTACCACCCTTCCAAGAAGTATGAAATTTAATGTAAATTACTCATTATGATGTTGTTATCACTCAGGCAAACCTTAATTTTCATAGCCTTCAATCTTACTTGGTTACAGAGCCATCAAATAGAAAATCAGAACCCTCTTGCCACACCCATTTGTTAGATATACACGACTGTTGCAATTTAAGTTTAACGCGAGTGTTAGGATTTACATTACTAGTTAAAAATTTAGTTTGACAAATAGATAGATTTATACTGCATGACTGTGAGTTTACCCATGTAGAGTGGATATTGGCAATCATTCAACTGAAACTACCATATTTCCACTAATTAATGCCCCCTCTCTAATTATCACCCCCACCCACACACAGTAATTTTATAAAGCTCTTCTTGTATGACAGCAATAGTAATTCAACATATAATCCACTTTTATTACCACAATTTTGATTTGGAAAAAAAGAACAAACACATAAACACGTATATTAGCATTAAAATCAACAACACACACGTGAAAAACAGAAGAGGGAACTACACAAATACTATAATTAACACCCCCTTGCAGTTTGCTACTCCCCCAGGGGCATTAATTAGGGGCAATATTGTATCAGATTGTATTGTAGTAACAGTGTAGAGAAGAATAATTCATCTTATCCAATGTGTTCTTAAGTAACTGAACCAGCCTGTGTGGACTTTGATGAAAAAAGAGATTTATTTAAAAGTTCTGAATACAACTGTGGTAACCAAGAGTTATAATGGTGATTTTAAAATGAAATTACCACAGATTGTATTGTAATAACAGAGCAGAGAAGAATAATTTGTCTTGTCAAGTTGTGTTCTAAAGCAACTGAACCAGCCTTTGTGGAATATGTTGAAAGAGAGAATTATTTAAAGCTCTGGATACAACTGTTATAACCAACAGTGTAACGAACATTTGTATATGCATTTGACTTGTTTTAATATATTTTAAAACAAGTGGATTGTGTGCTGTTTGTTTGTTGTTGAAATTTATTGCCAAAAAGTCACAGACACCTACCGTAAATAATCCAGCCCATAAAAGTTGACACCATCTGTCCCATCCTCTCTTTCAGAAATTGCTAATAGTTCTCTCAGACATTTAATACTAAATTATTTATAACCAATAGGAATCCAAAGTTTTAATCTATCAAATGACATATTAGATTGTTTTCTGTATAGAGAATTGTCTATTTCACTTCCAGTTAAAACTTTATTCTCACAGGAAACACATCGATGAGCTTATCTGAATTTCCAAAAACTTTCTTTTTTATTTCTTAGTTAAAAAGCCAGACAAATTGTGATAGTTGTAAAACATTATCTGCCTTTTGGATATTATTATTCTGTGTTCTTTGACACATTATTTAATTAAATACAAAATTATTTAGTGTAGTGGTATCATTAGTATAAAAAAATAGAATTAAGTTTCATTACCAGTCAACAGCAAGGTAGAAAAATACCCAAGTAAATACTATATTTCTTGTTTTAATGTGCAGTCTTTATATCATTAAAAAAGTAACTAAAATGGAAAAGTATTAAGTTTTTTAGGTTAGATAAGGTAAAATAAAGAATAATAATAATAGTTTTTCACAATGTATGCTAGCAACTGGCAAGTAGCCAGTGCATCATGTAATTTAATAGGGTAACATGAACACCATGTTTGCCAAGTGATTTACAAATTTTATGGTGGGAATATTAGTTAGACATGGTTGAAAGAGCAATATAATTTAAGTATAAACAGATGTATATTTTTACAAGTTTAAAGCTGTTTAGGATAAATAAATGTAGTTTCATGTTGAAATTATTCTAGAAAGAAAAAAGGGTAATTTAGATGTATTTCTAATTACATTTTGGTGGTTAGAAGGTCAGTCAAACTGACCAGCCTTGTACAAAGTTTGGGTAGAGAAAATAATAGATAAAATATAAAGTTTTTCATACAAAAAAAAACATTTGAAATTTATTTAAGAAGTTCTAGAGATTACGCAAATGAAATCTGAGATTTTTCAGATGAAGAAAAGTATTTTTGATCTTAACATGAAAATCACTTTACACTCAGAGCAGTAAACATTGACTCCATACATTCATATTCCATCAACTAAACCAGTTTACACTTTTGCATCTAATACACCAGAAGGACCAATTCCACAAAAACAGAATGTAAGTAAAATTTTTCCACCAGATTAAATTATTCCACAAAAATAGAATATAATTGCATTGTTCCACCAAATACATTAATTACACAATTCCATCTAAAAACTATGTATTTACACTGTTCCACCAAATACATTAATTACACAATTCCACCTAAAAAGTATGTATTTACACTGTTCCACCAAATACATTAATTACACAATTCCACCTAAAAAGTATGTATTTACACTGTTCCACCAAATACATTAATTACACAATTCCACCTAAAAAGTATGTATTTACACTGTTCCACCAAATACATTAATTACACAATTCCACCTAAAAAGTATGTATTTACACTGTTCCACCAAATACACCAGATTATACTATTGAATTAAAAAATAATGCAGTTGCATTGTTCCGTAAAATATATCAGATTAAACTATCCCATCCAATCAGAATATATTTAATGCTACAAATACACTGGATTACACAGAATTCACTTAGTGTTCCACCAAATATACCAGAAGATCCTATTCCCCCTAAAATATAATTACCTTTTATTCAACAAATAGCAGATTGCACTATTCTATATAATCAGAACATGCATACATTGTTCCACAAGTTCAATAGATTACACCGATTTTTACACCAATTATAGTAGCTGGCACTATTCCATCTAAACAGAATGTTCTTGCACGTTTCCATCAAATACATCAGATTACACTATTCCACCAAAACAAAATGTACCTGCACTGTTCCACATACACACGATTACACTATTCCACCAAAAACAAAATGTACCTGCACTGTTCCACATACACACGATTACACTATTCCACCAAAAACAAAATGTACCTGCACTGTTCCATATACACAAGATTACATTTTTGCACCAAATACACATTATAATACTATTCAGTCAAAACATAATATACTTACACTGTTCCACCAAATACACCAGAATGAAGATCTTTATTTGAACACTCTACTGTAATAAAGAAGTAACAGATGCCTCTGCAAAACAAAACTTTCTTTCATCAAAATAGTCTCAAAGAATTCTTAGATGATTTATTGTTATGTTATCCAAATACATTTAAAGCAATTTCTATTGTTTACTTGGTAGTGTTTCACCCACAAAAAAGTGTCAAAGTGCCGAGTTAAAAAATCTACCTTTATGTTTTTCAGTTTAATGGGATTACTCTAAGAAAAGGTTAGCAAGCAAAGATAAAAAAGTACTAGTCTAATTTCAATAAAAAATATTGGTAAAAATTAATTCAGCCTTTTATTTCTGGTTTTGTTTACCTCTACACCTGAATTTTTTAAGATTAAAATCAATGATTGACGAGTTTAGACAATCTGGTTGGGCCCAACATTTACCTTTTGTTACTTAAATGCGAGTTGTAGAAACTTCCTTGGGACTTCGCTATAAACCAATATTTTTTACTGCCATTTCTAACTGATTGTTTAACCACTGTTGTGATTCACATGCTACTTATACATATATACACAAATAAAATGGAAACTTTTCGAAACAGAAAAAAGGGATAATTTGATCCAAAACTATGTTGTCATTACAAGTGTCAAATCATCATCAACTGTATGTGATGCTACTGTTTATTGTAATTTGTGTTTGAACTTAAAGCTCTTCATATCTACAAATGTTTTACAAGTATGTACTTGAATGTAAAGAAAAGAACAAAAGAAATGTGTACCTTTGCCAGTATCAGAGAATGAGAATAATATCCTGGCATAGTCACAGGTTACAATAGTATAAAACTATGAATATTTCAATAAGATATGACAAAAGTTACATTTAAAACTATCATATTTCATAAGAAATTCTTGTAGAAAAGAATTTTTTACATAACATATTATCAACTATAAATCTTGTTTGAATACTGTTATGCTGTACAAGAACTACACAAAAAGTACATCTCATTAAACACACATTTCATGAGGAAGTGATCTAAGAGCTCACAATATCGGGTTTGTTGTTATTTACAATATATCGATACTAAAATGACTGTATATTATATATATTTGTATACACAAATTATCTGGTTATGACTGATGGAGATACCCAATTCCCAGCAACTTTTTAGAAATGTCATAAATAAAGGAAAATGTGTCAGCTCAAACAAATTTGGCTATTTATAGCTATCTGAAAACATTTTAAACAATCAACTGTATTCCTTTTTGATTCTGATTTTCAGTTTTAATCAATAGCTGAACTACAACATATGACTTTATGAAATAAAACATATCTTAGAACTGAATAAAGAAAAAATATATTACCTGAGACCATATGTAATACATGGCTTTTTCTTGCCCAGCCAGTAATTGTCTGATATACAAACATAGTCTACATCTTTGAAGAAAGTGTCTTTTCTGGAAAACAACAAGTCATCTAGACCTTCTGAACCAGATTCTTCCATCCCTTCAAAACAAAACTATGAAGAAAATATTCACTGTCATGTTTAGTAACAAATATGATCATCTTAGTCTAATTACTTATTAGTTGCCATTTTTACCATTCTAGCACTCCTTAATATTCTCACACTTTCTGCCATTCCTAATTGAGATTATGTACATGTATTGTTACGAAAGCAAAAGTCACGTGACGCTGGTAACACGTAATGAGTATCTAGTAGGTTCCTGAAGGCTCGAGACGCCCTCTATTTTGTATATATAAGACTGGCAAATAAAGTGGGGGAGAACAATTGCAGACAGGCAGAGATAGAGACGGACAATCGAGTCAAGTGTGGTAGTGACTGTAAGTAAAGTGCGTGAATTGTTGTGCATTATAGCATGTGTTTAGGTACACTGTACCCACTATTATCCATAAAAACAAAAAACAAATGGGTACATGCTTCTAACTAAACTTTTCAAACCATTGATTATTCCAACTTGGTATTTATTTTACTATTTCATTTTACATTGATTTAGTCTTTTTTGAATAACCCTTGATTTTATATGTTATGCCTCTTCTGAAGGGTGCTACTTGTGCATTTCTTACTCAGTAGATGAATTGTTAATGTTAACTAAATACCACCACACCATTGCTATTGTTTATTTTTCAAATTTATAAAAACCCACACTGATCTTGTGTAAATCAAACTCATAATTAAATAAAACAAACATGTTTTATTACCACTGATAAGGTATAATAACATTATTATTTAAAACATGTCAATTACGAATAATTGAATAGCCAGTAAAACAACTTATATACACTGTTTATATAAGATAATTATAAAAATAATATTCAATAAAGATTTGAGTCAATATTTTGCAATCACCTACCATACTCACTAAACAGTAAATCATATTTGATTTGATAACATCTATATTTGGTGAAGGTAATTAGAAAAAAACTATCATGTTTGCAATCATTACAACTCAGTAAAACTAAAGTATATATGTTAAAAAGTAAAAACACTGTAGTTTTAAGCAAGATAACCTTAGTAGGGCTTATGCCATCTCCAATCATGTGACTTCTTTGCTTTGTACTGTATGTATATTAAACTTTTAATAATGTTTTCTTTGTTACCTGTATAGGCTTAACTACCTTATCTCAAGTTATCTGATGTTTTTCAATTGAAGACAACCTCTGTAATTTTCAAACATGTAAAATTTAATGCACACACACACTTTCACAATTCATAACTAATAGAGCATTTACAGAAACTATTAAAAACTCTTAAACTTGTATATTTACTCTATTAATACATGATACTATAATTCTTGTTTTATACAATCATATTTAAACTTTCTTTATAGCTGTGTTTTATTAGTAAATAATTAAACCACATGATGTGGCATCATAGTAAAGTTTCAACCAAAGTCTGTCCAAAAACTTTAGTTCAATGCTTCAAAATGAAAAAACTGATAATATATTCTCAAGGTGTGATAAGTTCTTGGTAAAAAAAATAAATTATTTTTTAGGATGGGTAGAAAAATTCTAAGAAAAAAATGAACTGTGCAGAATGGAAAATATTAACTTTCTTTTTCACAAAGTACACTAAACAAGTGTCAGAATATGACAATATATTTATTTTAAAATACTTTTTGAGTTAAATTGATCATATACTGAGAGTTAACATATAAAAATTTATGGTGAAGAGCTAAAGGAATCCTGTCTTCAGATACAATAATTATTTTGTTCATGCTCAACTGCTACAGATAAAAAAATTGATCATAAATGTAAATCAGTATAAAACCTGTAATAACCTGAAAATATAATATGATTAATAGTATTCCACAGGTTTATCCCTACAAATTTCCAAAAGTAATGTACTAAAACTACTGAATTTTTGTTGATGAAAATAAACATATTACTTTATGGTATTTTCAAACAACAAATTTGTACATCAAGTTAATAAACTTTATCACTCTCAAAACATCATCAATACAGGATTAAAAAATTGTTTTTAATTACTAGTTTCAGCTATAGGCCTACATAATGTGTAAATTAGTTGAATACTTCTTTTATTGTTGGAGATAAAATTATTTTCAAAACACTTGCAAAAATCAATGCATGATATTTGGCAAACAAATAGAGGAATGTCAAAACTCAACAGATAGAGTACTTATCTTAAACATTTGATATCCATAACTTAAGAAACTGCTATTGAAAACAGGGGCAATCAAGGCAAACATCGTCATCGGTGGATCCTGTCAGCCTTCCCCGCAACTAACTCCATAATTCTTTTATTTATATTAGTTTTTCATTTTAATATCATACAGTATAAAATACTCTATAATATTATTTTCTTTGTTTACAATATGAATGGCAAGGTATGAAGTGTTTATAGTATGAAATGGTAAGGTATGAAGTGTTTATAGTATGAATGGCAAGGTATGAAGTGTTTATAGTATGAATGGCAAGGTATGAAGTGTTTATAGTATGAAATGGTAAGGTATGAAGTGTTTATAGTATGAATGGCAAGGTATGAAGTGTTTATAGTATGAAATGGTAAGGTATGAAGTGTTTACAATATGAATGGCAAGGTATGAAGTGTTTATAGTATGAAATGGTAAGTAAGAAGGTTAGGAATGCATCCTCACAGTAATAATTGATTTAATATATGAAGTTTCAGTATAAGAACAAAGCTCCAGGAAGGCATCTCCTTTAAGTATACAGGTATTACTGTGCTATATTTCTAGTTTTTCAAGTAACTTGTTATTCATTGTTACAAAAGCAATTGAGATGGAAAAATTAGAAACTTATTAGGTTAGATAATGAAAAATAATTCTCCATGAAGTATACTCACAAGTAGCTTATACATTACATCATTCAATATGTTAACTTGAGCTACACATTTGCCAAATGATGTACAACTTGTATGGCAGGATTATTAGTTTGACATGGTTCAAAGGGCAATAAAACAATAAAATTAAGTAGAAAAAGATGTATTCTGTTATGAGCCTTAAGCTATTTAAGGTCAGAAATTGTAGTTTCATATTACAATTTGCAGTCATCCTAGAGAAAAAAAATGTAATTTAGATTTATTTTGAACTTTAATGTGGTTATAAGATTGGCCAAATCAACTAAGTCCATATAGAATTTGGGTAGATAAAATAACAGGCAAAATGTAATGTTTAATCTTAAACAGTTTGATATTTATTTAGGAAGTTTTGAAGGTTACACAAATGAAATTTGAAAATTTTCAGATAAGAAAAGTGTTGTAATCTTAACAAGAAAACCACTTTGCACTTGGAACAGTTAACACTGACTCCATATATTCAGACAAATCTCTAGTAAAAATGCTCAATTAAAAAATTTGATTATTTATGTACAAAAGATTTGTAATGTTTACTGAAAGCTTGTCAGAATTTGTGAAGACACACAACATATTAAAAAGTTACATTATGGAAACTTTTGGTTAATTTTGAATTTCAAGGTCAGTTACATCGACCAACCTCTTAAGAAAAGAGTTAATCAATTGTTGGAATAATCGTAAATGGTAATAACCGGAAATAAATTTCAATTAGTTGATTATTTTTGTGATGTTAACTGATTAACAGTATTTTCAATTAATCAACTAGTTTTGGGATACTTATTGATGTAATTGCTGCTCATAGGTAACTGATTAAATCCCCCAGTTCTACAAAATGATCTAAAGTTTTTCATGCAAATCTGAGCACATATAGGTCAAAATACCTAAAACAGTAAAAGCTCATTATTAAGTTCTACTTGTTCACTTCAATTTAGATCTCTAGGTTTGGTCTAAGCCATTCTGACCAGCTTCATAACCACCATGTAACCATGACACTACTAGGATTCTGAATGTACAAAGTGTATCTCCATGAAATTTGGCAACCTTTGAGTAAAGTAGTTGCAAATTTGATGTAGATAAAACATCTGAATCATTTTTTTTATTTATTCTACTAAAGATTTGTTTGTGAATGTATCAATCCAAATCAGACTGACTATTATGAGTACAAAATGATTTTTATGCTTAGTATCAAAATTCTTTCATCTTACAGTTTTCATATTTCATTTGTATAGCCTTTGAAATATCCCACATGAATAAGTTTTTGTCATTAAAATTTTATATTTGTTTTTTCTATATCTTAACACTAACTACAAATAAATCATTAATGTATAGCAAAATAAAATTTAGAAAATTATATAAAATGAATAATAAGTTTTTTCTTCTTTGAAGACTTGATTTTTGCTGTATTTTATATTTCAACTTTATGGTTTTATGACTTACAGTTTAGACATCCCTGAAAAGCAACACATCACAGAGAGAAAACATTAAAATATTCCCACAGACTGATGTATCAAGCTCGTGAAACTCTGCACTCAAATATGTAACTGACTTACCCTATTTTTTTCTTTTCTCCAAGTTCATTATCAAAAGAAAACTCGTATCAAATATGCATATATAATGCATAAATCACTAAAATGGAATATCAAAAAACTGGCTTTCTAAATAAGTTATAAATAGGTTAAAACAAGTTGTTAATGCGCTTCATCCCCCACTATACTAGTACAGATATGTCGATGACACTTTTGCTGGTTTCACTTCTACAGAACACACACTAAC